CCTACCATATCACATACATGATAGTTGTGCGATTGAAATATCACAAAACCTTCGCAACATTTTAATATTTTTTTTTCAAACATCAAACTTTATTAGTACACCTCGAAAATACAACCGTTAATCAACGGATTACACTTGATAAGCCTTCCTAGTCTAGACTAAAAAGGGAACCAAACGGGAGAAGAACACAACAAATGTTCTCTTCATGACCCACAACGGTCCAAATAATCAAAACCAACAAAAACATCCACACCTATGAGACTAAAACTCCACAAGGGAGACTACAAAAAACGCACTCCACATGGAGAGAAAAGAAACAAAACACACTAACACACTAACAACAAGACACAAAATAAAATAAAAAACTTAATATCTAGATTAAAGCCCTCTCCACAAACGCCAAAACTCACCTAGAGCCGTCAAGCAAGACAACACTCAAGATGACTACCCAATAGGGATCCAATCCATGCTCAAAACCTAGAAACTCCGTCATCAGCTAATGAGAGACCTAAGACAAAACCCTAACTAAGAGGCCACCCTCGAACCAACACCAGCGAAGCTGATACCTCCCAAGACCAGCCGACGACCACTACTATTTGCCACTACTAGCACCTCTATTAGCCCAACGCTAGGGCCGAACAGTGGAGGAAGGGAAGAGCCGCAGATAGGCAGTCGCGGGCTCCAATCATCACTATCCGACTGAATACCTGCCGCCACCACAAGCCGCCCGAAGCCCGCTTCTACTGCTCCCGTCATGGCCCGCAAGGAGAACAGAGAGGAGACCCAAGCAAAAATTGGAATAGTGACCTCAGAGAGACTACTTGCGCTGGTAGCACCTCGGGCCTTTGCACCGACTGGAGGGAGGAGAGCTATCGCTAGCAGAGAGGCACGCCGGAAGGGAGAGTCGAGGCATTGGTGGAAAAGAGGATTTGGGAAATTAAGATTTGTGATTCCCAACAAATAGTATGATTTTTCATGTTTCACAACATTTCAATCAAATTCGCATTTAACCATTTAGGCTATGTTTGGTAGATAGCTTATATAGCTTATTTTGTTAACTTATAAGTTTCATATTTAAATAAGCTTCGTTTGGTAGGATGAGCTTTTTAAAAAGCTCAAGCTTATATCATAAGCTTCTTTGGGTAGCTTTTCAAATAAGTCCGTTGAAATTTTTATTTCAACTAGCTTATAAACTACTTTTACCAAACACTTATAATAAAAGCTAAACTTTCAGCTATAAGCTCGAAAAATACTGATTAGTTATAAGTCAGCTATCAACTAACTTATCAACTAGTTTTACCAACATAGTCATTGGTTGGTCTAACAGTCTAAGTTAATGATTTTCTTGAACGCATTTCTTATTGCGAAAAATACATACGTAACCCCTAGATTATAAATATATACATAAATACAATTAGTAGGAAACAGAATCAAAAGAGGATTCATTAGTGATTTTTTTTTTCAAAATTACGAGATTGTAATAAATCATCATATATCTTTATTCTCTCTCCATATATTGAAAGTCATGAAGGCGAGATTGACGGAAAGAGTAAACACGTTCAACAGAAAAAAATTGAAAATCATGGCGATCGTGATTCCTATAATCCAGGAAATCACGGATTCAAAATTAGAAACAGGAGAAATCGTCGTCAACAGATTCTTGCGTACCAATTTCTTGCTACGAAAAAAGGAGAAAAAAAAGAGGTTGTTGTTC